GAAGTATTCATCTAAACCATGAACTTAATTAAATTCAAATGACTTGAGAATGCTCAATGTAAACAATGACGTGATGTTAACAATCCGTTGCTTATTGCCCTATTGTTTGTTCAATTGCAGTCACGGCGATCTATCCAATCCCCGATGTGGGCCTCAAGGGCGCTTGAAATCCGAGCGGCTGTGGTGTGAGTTGGCGGTAATATTAAACTCCATCGGTGGTGGAGTAAATAAATCAGCAGACAAATGGAAAAAGGTAACAAATTCAACAGCTATATATGGTAATAATCACTTTATGCTTTACTTTATTTATATTAACCATTTACTATTAATATACACTATTATTACTTATTACCTAACTTTCCTACATATTGCTTAATTAATTTCGAAGGTATGGGTATAAGGCGTAATGCAAGTGGTACTGGTGGTGGGCCGAGTATTCGCCAAACCCTCACGGCTTTTGAGAAGAGGGTGTTGGCCATCATGGGGAATTTGACTGTGGATGGTCTGCCAAGCAGTCAGGAACAAGGCTTTGTAAGTATCGCACTTCTTCATTTAAAATTCAGGGTTAACTGATCACATGAATATTTAAAACATGTATTTAATTAATAAAATAACATATAATTAATTAAAATAGTCACATGGAAAATTAATCAAATGCCTAGTACCTAGTTTAACGAAATGAGTAATGTCACAAGAGGTTTTATATGATATGTTATGGTTAGGTATTAGTTAAATTAAGATTTCAAGTCATTTTTTGCAGGGACTATCACAAGTCATCTCCTCGCCAACTCTGGCCCTGAGTCCACCACCAGCCACGCATCAACAAGACACAATTGATTGTGAAATCACAACAGCCAATCGTATGTATAGCTACATACTACTAAATATTTTAATATTTTATAAATACTTTATTAAGTAGGTATTTGAAAGTTCATTTTGTTTACAGAGTCTGTGGCAATATCACCACCTGCGCCTACTACTCCTACACCATCTTGCAGCTGGCAGCCACCGCACACCCTCACACAGGAGACCTTAACATCGCAAGACCAATCCATGAGGAGTTCAAGAGTGTAACCTGCACCTTCTACCCCTCCGCCGACCTGCAGGCGACGATTCCCACCAACCCCGAGTTCTGAGATAACTGCTTCCCCCACACAAACGTCTCTAAGGGCTCGCCGGAGGCGTACACTCCAACATTCGATAGAGCGACGAGTGAGTTCGTTGCCATCGAACATTTACGTCTTCGGCAGGAGGAGACACGAGACAGGCAGCTGTATGAGCTGTAAACCCGAAGGATAGAGGTTGACCACGAGCGTAATCAAGTGATACGAATGTTTGCAGACATTGCGCAAGCGTGGTTTGACCACTATCGGAGTAAAGACAATACGGAGCAATAAGAGATACACAAACTCCGACTCCAAGCTAGCTAAAATGGAGGAATTTCTAATGGAAAAACCCAATACCACTGCCCAACCCGGGGATCAAATCCGAGACCTCGCGGTTAGATATCCGCTACTATAGGCTTTAAAGTTCGCTTGGAGCTGGACCAGTGTCCACTTTTACAGTGTTTACTTTTACTTTTACTGAACTTTAAAGCCCTGGATAACTATGGGCGCCCTAAGATGTATTAGGTTTAGAAATAAATTGCAGCTACAAAAGAGAAAAGACCCTTTTAACGTTATATTGATTATAACTTACAGGCGTTTTCGCACATATTGTTCTAATCTTATTAAAAAACTCAAACGACAGTATCATAAAAATGAGATTTTAAATTCTTTAAAAAATCCTAAACTACTCTGGCGTAAAATTAATGACATTACACATTATAAAAAACCCAAGGCGTCTAGTATACACCTACTGCATATCACACCACATCCTCTTGACTCTTTAAACCGTGTAAACCAATTCTTCGCAACTATTGGAAAAAAACTTGCGGATGAAATCATAACCCTAATTGGACAAGCATCTAGATCTGTCACTTACTTAAATTCACTATCTCAAATTAACTCGTTCGTCCTACTGGAGACAGATCCGGCAGAAGTGGATAGCATACTTGGCTTGACTCAAAAAGTGCTTCGGGGTGGGATTGCATACCTGTGGGTTTCCTTAAATTATCTCGAGAACTAGTCATTCCTCTTATTAGCCAGTTGATTAATATGTGTTTCGAAACGGGCGTATTTCCTGATGCGCTAAAACGTTCTATAATTACGCCCGTGCACAAAGATGGGGACAAGAGTGATGTTAACAATTATCGGCCGATATCTGTCTTAACATCCCTTTCAAAAATAATAGAGAAAATATTAAACAAAAGGCTAGTAAGTTATTTAAATAAATACAAAATTATTTCAGATTCACAATACGGTTTTAGACAGGGACGGTCAACTCAGGATGCGATCATTGCGTTAACATCTGAAATCGGTAATAAGGTAGACAATGGTTATAAATGCGTTACGGTGTTTCTAGACCTGAAAAAGGCTGTTGACACTGTATCTGTTACCATCCTTGTGCAGAGACTTGAAGCTATAGGGATAAGAGGTAAAGCTCTCTCCCTCTTTGACAGCTGCCTCCGAGGTAGGAGACAGCAAGTTAAAATAGATAACTTGCTTAGTGAGGAGGAAAACATTGTTTACGGTGTCCCACAGGGCTCGGTTCTCGGCCCATCACTGTTTCTAGTGTATATTAATGAATTATGCAACCTACGAAGCAGTGGTGGGAAAACCTTCTCCTACGCGGACGACACGACCATCGTTTACATTGGGGACTCGTGGGAAGAAGTATGCAATAATGCCGAGCAAGGATTAGTTGTTATATATAGATGGCTCAAAGCCAGTCTGCTAACCATTAAAACAAAAACGAACTACATTTGTTTTTCTCCTAGTTTAAGGTCTAAACCAGGCCTCAATTTTAAAATTAGAATATACACGTGTGCGGACCACTTGAACCATAATTGTAATTGCCAGGTCCTTAAACATATAACGTCCACAAGATACTTGGGAATTATAGTTGACGAGTGTTTAACTTGGCATTCGCATATTGAGATTGTTACATCACGGGTGCGCAAATTTATATGGATTTTTAAAAATTTAAGATATGTGATGCCTCAGAAGACACTAAATAGCATCTATATTATGCTTACGCAATCAGTTCTTACATGTTGTTTACCAGTCTGGGGAGGAGCCACTAAAACTAAATTCCTTGAGTTAGAAAGAGCCCAAAGGTCACTTATAAAAGTCATGTACTATAAACCATACAGATACCCCACCGACGATCTATATAGAATCAGTGCCTTACTTTCAATTAGAAAACTATATTACTTAATTACGGTCCTATACATACAAAAATCTATTCCATTTAACCAAGACAGTCAAGAGAGGAGACGAAAAGACATAGTGGCTTACTCCCTAAGGGTCCGAACCGCTTTTGCACTGCGTCAGTATGCAACCCAATCAGTCTACATTTATAATAAAATAAACGTAAAATTAAAGTTCCACCATGAGGTATCACACGTATGCAAAAAGATAATAACTGAGTGGTTAAAAACCTTAACATACGAAGAAACTGAACAAATTTTAGATAGACTTAGTTAAGCAATTTTTTTTCTTCTTTCTTATCAATAATGTACGTACTCACCGAGCTTAATCTATTACATGCACTGCGAACACACCGGCACTACAAAGAAGACACACACTCACACATATAAACGCACACGCACACACACACACACACACACACACACACACACACACACACGCACACGCACACACACGCACACACACACACACACACACACACACACACACACACACACACACACACACACACACACACACACGCACGCACGCGCACACACACGCACGCACGCACGCACGCACGCACGTTTAAAAACAAGATGCACTACAGTTTCACACAGGCGTACAACTACAGTTACACAAAGAGCTAATAATTACTTTATAAGTCACTTACTGTTATTTTTTCTTTATAAATTTATCTTTACTTACGTTTTGTATAATAGTCTCAATATTGTTAATAATTAAGGGAAAGAGCGAGATAGCCCCAACACAAGTATTATCAATTACTTACTGGGGATGTCTCATTTATAATTCATGTAACTGTTTTGAGACAAATAAACATTTTAATTTTCATTTTCATTTTTTTTTCAGTTTATTTTGTAATGGTTGTTTTTATGCATATTTTTATTGTTTTATTTTGTCTTTAATGTTTTTAGTCATTTTTTTGTATTTGAAATTTATTATCACATTTAATTACCTTGTACGTAGTTTAGTTTTTTAGTATAAGTCAGGTAAATGGGGAGCATGCAACTTTGGACTCCCGCACAACACCTCAGGGAGGAGGGAGCGGCTGAAAAACAGCTCTGTACCAGATCTGTATCTCGTTACAGACAATGCTGAGCTGTCTCCTTTTGTCTCCAATAATTATAATATTCTTTTGTTTTAACCTTATGTAACTGTGTTTTTAGAGGCAATAAACAATTATTATTATTATTATAACACTTGTTTTGACTATTTTTTATTTTAATAACACATCCAGAATGGGGTGCGAGTGTAGATACTAAGATGATGGCTGCTAGAGCATGAAAGGAAAGTACCACATACGCCGCTGACCTCAATTAAGTTAGGACTAGCACAGGTGAATGGTGAAACACAATAAAAAAATTAAAATGTCATCTCTATAATTACGTAGACTGTTTTATTAATCAATGTTTTATAAACAATCTCACCAAAAACATAACAAAAAGTTGAGAGATCTAACATACAAACATTGCAAGGTAGTAAAAAACTTGTAAAATGAATAGTCACACCACATTACTCTACTTTTCCAACCAAGCAACAAATGAAACATTTAGTCAAATTTTATACATTACTATTTGTCTATACAACTAACAATACTTAATATTTAACAACTCTGTACAAATATTGGCACAGCAACTATATATATGCTATAATGCTAAATAATTAATAAATATAGATACTTAACTACATCTACAATCTACTTATTAAATAATTGAGCATTGCCCTGCCTCGGATTAATTCATTTCGATTCTCCGTGGTGGTGCTTTGGGTGGTTTGTGTACTGGAGTCATCATTATGATCTACAGTAGTAACAGGGATATCACTTGGAGCTGGCAAGTGTGCATGAAGTGAGATGTTGTGTAGCACACAACATGCAAGTGTTATTTTGCTGGCAACGTTGGGATGATAATGAAGGACCCTGTCACGAAGCAAACACCTCCAACGTGTTTTAAGTAATCCGAAGCAGCGCTCAATACATGTCCTGGCTTGTACATGACGAGTGGTGTACAATTTCTCCCGAGACCCATGTGGAGCATTTAATATTGGAGTCATAAGCCAAGGGCGTTGTGGATAACCAGAATCCCCTGAAAGCAAGAAGTTATGAATGAGAAAAGATTTAATGCATACTTACCTATGTTATACTACTTGTATATATTTAATGGTATATATATAAGTCTCTTATAAATATCTTACTCTTATCTCTTATAATATCTTACTTACCAAGTAACCAAACATGTTCACCACTTTCATGAAGGTGACGCATATAGGGTTCTACGAGACTCGATGACCATATGTGGGAATCATGTGTTGCTCCACCAAACTTAGCATTTATGTTTATTATTTTTAAATTATGATCACATACCTGAAAATGTAATTTTATGTAGTACCAAATAAAATTGGTAGTAATGAAAGCAGAAATAATATTTCTAAATTTATACTTATCTTCACACACAATCCCTGACGGGGTAGCCAGAGAGAACAGATCGCCAAGTGTCACGATCCTGACAAACCTCTTTCGCTTCTTTCAGATTCATTATCTTCTTCATGCATGCACGTCTAAGTATCCGAGTACTCTTGACCCTACCCTCTTCGAGCAATTTGCTCACATGGTCTTCGAAAGTTAGTCTCGGTCTACCTCGACACCTTTTAATATTAACTTTCGCGCTATATATTTTCTTCACCATTCGGTCTTCACTCATTCGCTCAACGTGCCCAAACCACCGAAGCACGCCCTTATCAATTTTTGTGATAAGGTCATCTTTCAAACCTGCCATATTGCGAATCTCTTCGTTTCGCTTTCGGTCGGCCATAGTAACGCCGCACATTTTACGAAGAGATCGCATCTCCACTGCATTCAACTTACTTTTATGCTTCTTCTGGCATACCCAGGTTTCGCTGCCATATAACAAAGTCGGTACCAACACTGCCTTATGTATTGCAAGGCGTGCACTCTTCGCTACGCCTTGCCTTTTGACTAACGCAGTCAGGGCACCATTGACTTTGTTCCCGGCAGCGACACGCCTGTCCACATCTAAATCACATCTTCCATCCCGGCTAAAAGCACTCCCCAAGTATACAATTTCATTTACCTGTTCTAGACATTCCTGATTTACCCATATTTCACACTTCGTTCTCTCTTCGTCCCTTTCAAATACCAGAACCTTAGTTTTATTAGCATTCAAACGGAGACCTTTAATTTCACATTCCTCTTTCATACACGTGACTAATGCCTGCAGTTCTGCCTCTGATGGTGCAATAAGCACTGCATCATCAGCATACAGCAGACAATTTACTTTTATGTCACCCAATTTCACACCCAAACAGCTATTTTTCAGCTTCTGTAAACAGCTGTCGAGATACAGTATGAACAGCCAGGAAAACATGACACAACCCTGCTTTACGCCCGTTTGGACGTTAAACATGGGTGACAGGGCATGCCCTACCCGCACACAGGCTTTACAGTCACAGTAAAGAGACTGCACAGCCCTTAGCAATCGACCATCCACACCATACCCCGGCAACAGTTTCCACATTTTCTTCCTTACAACCTTATCAAATGCTTTCTCAAGATCCACAAAAGCACAGAAAATCTTCTGGTTAGCAGCCAGAAGCTTTTACGTGATCATGCGGAGAGAAAACATTTGATCCGTGCATCCTCTTCCAGGTCTAAATCCGCATTGTGCCTCCCATAGAAATCTTTCCGATTTCTCTTGGATCCTACGTGTCAAAACCTTCGAGTAAACTTTACTTGCTAAACTGGTCAAGCTGATCGCCCGATAGCACCCGCAGTCAACATGTGAACCTCTACCTTTATATAAAGGCACAATGACTGCGGATTGCCAATCATCCGGGACATCCCCCGTCCGCCAGCACAAATTGCACAGCAGATGAAAGCTGTCCCAGACGCGAGGCCCACCATACTTGACCATTTCAGCAGTAACTCTGTCTAGTCCCGCAGCCTTACCACATTTCAAACTTCGAATCGCACGTTCAATCTCTTTCATACTGATGACCTCAGTGTCATCGAGGTCCGGGTCTGGCGTACCAGTCACGGCGTCATCCCCGGATCCCTCACTAAGATCATCACACGCATACATTTCTCTATAAAATTCGCTCCATCGCTTCATGACGTCCGATTTTTCTGAGAGGACGTCATTAGTTCTCGAAAGCACTTTGTTCATTCTTAAGGCCGTCGCACCACTTCGGGTCCTTCCAACATCTTTCCAGAAGAGTTTGGAGTTCTCCTTAAAGTTGTGCGACAACCTTTCGTCCGCTTCCATTCTACACCTTTCACGCACTTCCTCAATCAGTGCGAACTTTCGTGTGAACTTTCTGCAGCCTATATTGTTCTTTCATCTTCTCTCTCATATCCTTATCATTACTAGAGGCCAAGTAGTCTAACTATGCTTTCTTCTTCTTCTTTACATCTTCTTTCACTTCATCATTCCACCATGCATCTCTTCTTTTACTACTGCCTCTTTTTATTGTTCCACACACTTCTTCCGCTGCACTTACCATTCCATCCCTAAGGTTCTGCCATGTTCTTTCTACACATTCTTTTCTGCCATCGATGGTGTCAAGCTTTTCGGCTACCCTCGCATGATATTTGTCCCTAGTATCCGCTTCCTGAAGCTTCCAGCTTCGGATGCGACAGACCGACTGTCGTTCTGTTACTGCCGTCCGGTAGCGCCAACCCGCGAACAGACCCCTAAATCTAGTAATCACTAGATAGTGATCCGTTCCCAGGTCAGCACCCCTGAACACTCGCGTATCCATCACCTGTTTTCGCAGTCGGTCATCCACCAGGAACAAATCGATCATACTTCTCTCATTCTTTCGTTCTCTAGTATACATATGGATTTTCTTGTGATTAAACATAGTGTTTGTCACAAGAAGACCCTTTTCCTTGCACACCGCCAGTATAAGCTTGCCAGCATCATTAACCCTTTTATCGCCAAACTTTCCAAGTACCGACTCGTACCCTGGTCGAGCGGTACCAACCCATCCATTCAAATCACCACATACAACAATTCTTTCGTTTCCCCTAGCCAAATCTAGAACTTCTCTTACATTCTCCCAAAACTCCTCCAGCTCAGCCCTGGACGACGAAGCTACCGGCGCATAAACAGCCAAAAGGAATAACTTCGTCAGTCCCAATTTAAAGCGAACCCAGAGAAGTCTTGAGTTCACCTTATATTCAGTCATAACATCGACCAACCGAGAAGACAGCAGCACCCCCACTCCCTGGCAGGCGTTCTCGCTCTCCGGGACTCCGGACCATAGAGCTAACGCCCCGCCAGGGAGCTCTTCAATACCACTGCCCTTCCGTTTGGTCTCCGACATACACACGACATCTAATTCTCTTTCTTTCATTATTTCGATCAACTCATTCGTCTTATCTCTCATGCCTCCTCTAACATTCCACGTGCCAACTCTGCACTCCGTCCTCCACCTTCCGCCGTGTCGGGCTGTGCGTGACAGGTGGCGGTCCCCATCGCCGCTTTGCGCGCTGCATTCCACACCAACAGGGACGAGCTGGTGTGCGTCGCCTTGGGGGGACGCCCTAACCCTCGTTGGCATGGGTGCGCAGCTGAGTAGAATTGCAGCCCTGAAAAGAGCTGGCAGGGGTCGCAACGAGCACGCTTCTACAATGACCCCTATTTCTAAATTTAAATACAAACTATTTGAACGTTTAAGGAATGATATCCTTTTCTGTTATAGAAAGCATGCTCTTCTTCAGCTGGTTTTACTATAGCAATGTGGGTGCAGTCGATGCATCCTATCACTACAGGCAAATTATACTTCTTTTGAAACCTGAACATGAAAGATTTTTGTAATATAATATGGCAGAGAAGTAACAACCTATTCATGTTACTTAAATTTAATAATTACTGTAGTTAAGATATACTTAATATACTTTATTTTTTTAGCTAACCATTACCTAGAAACATAAGCATGATTACTTACTCTTCTTTGATTAATGATCTTTCTTGTACTGTTTGTGGAAATTGAATCCACTTGCTCATGAGTGTGGGGTGGTTGAGCGCATCAACGACTTGCCGGACACACCGGCTCGTTGTTCTTTGTGTTAAATTTTGACTAACACCCATAGGAACCAGTAGCTAAAAAATTAAGAGCAGTGAGCACCTAAAAACATAAAGTAATGAGGTAAAGAAAATGTTGAAATCAAACGTACTTGCATCAAATTCAAATTCAAATTCAAATTCAAATTCATAAAACTATTGTTTATTTATTTATTTGTAAACGTTTAGTAAGGTTATTAATTTTCAAAGGGATTTCTTTAGATCCTCTTAGCGACGTGTGAACACGCAAATTGTTGCAAAGCCGCCGAAAGGTGCTCTTATTCAAACGAAAATGTTCAACAAACATTAACTTATCTTCCACACTTTCCATTGTTTGCCGGTAATTGTATCTTTTTTGACGCCTCAACCACACGCTTTCATTATGTGCAGCCCTTAGTAAACGCAACGTATGCATTTTTATCAAAAAACCACGAAATATAAGAAACAAGCAATAATTGATGCAAACAACACCAACAGCTGACTAACAATAAGCCATGTTATTTTGCTTTTCTAAAGGGTTCAAGTGTTCGCCAAGTTGTCGAATGAACGTTTCGACATCTAGCGATTTAGAATGTCAAAAGTGCCACTTGTCTACACATTCCTAAGATAATATCGTTCGTGTTGTTCGTTTTCTTTATCGCTTCGTTAGGCAGTTCGACATTGTCTAGGAATTAGCGATCGAAAACGGTCGATCACGTGATCTTTCGAAAGCATATGTCAATTCCATACATTTTGGAGTTCTCTAACTTCGTTATCGTTACTGAAAATCGTGACTTTGTCTAGGCCCCCAGGCAATATACAACGCACGCACCCTGAGGACTGACGAGAAGATTGTGGAGCTGGAAGAAGAGATAAACAAGTTGTGCTGGAATATTATTATCCGAGGTCCGAAGAGAGGGGGAGGAAACGGTAATCCTCGAATCCGGCAACTTGCTCTATTACCGGGAGGGCGACCATCTGTCTCAAGGAGGTGTCGGATTTATCGTCCACAAGTCTCTCGTTAACAACGTTGTAAAGATAGAGTGTGTCGACGAGGGTTGCGCCCCTTTTACTCAGAATCACCAAACGGTATTCGCTGAAGGTCATACAGGTTTACGCACCAACCTCGGCACACCCCAATGAGGAGGTGGAGGAAATGTATGAGGATATCTCTAGAGCCATGCATTCCTCCAAAACCCAGAATACGGTGTTAATGGGAGACTAATGCAAAACTAGGCACAAGAGAGAATGGTGAGCTGAAAGTAGGGAAATTTGGAATAGGGCAACGGAACCCAAGGGGCCAACAGCTGGCCGACTTCATGGAGAAAGAGGGACTCTTTATGATAAACTCTTTTTTCCAGAAGCGGCCCCACAGGAAGTGGACCTGGTCGAGCCCCGACGGTTCGACAAAAAATGAGATTGACTTCATTATGACGACAAGACGACAACTGTTCAGTGATGTCTCAGTGATCGCGAGTGTGAAAACCGGCAGCGATCACCGAATGGTTAGAGGCACACTGAATCTAAACGTTAAGTTGGAAAGGTCTCGTCTAATGAAGTCAACGCTCCGTCCCCCTCGTGCTCTAATCCAAAATCCCGAAACCTTTCAGCTCGAGTTACAAAACCGTTTTCAGTGCCTAGAAGACTGCAAGGAAGTGGACGATATGAATGACAAGCTCGTGGAAACTGTCCATGCGGTCGGAGCTAAGTTCTGCAAGACCCGCCGCAGAAGAACACAAAAACTCTCCGATCACACTCTTAATCCGGATCTCCAAATGCATGCGGCGGGACTTACGCAACTTCAATACAGCTCGTATTGAAGAAGCGATCGAGCGGAACCAAGGCTCCAAAGTCTTTGCCAGAGATCTGTCTGCCAGAAAGAGCCAACTGTCAAAGCTGAAGACAGAATGTGGCAGCATCGTTTCCGGGGCACCTGAGATTTTGAGTGAGATTGAGAAGTTCTATGGGCAGCTGTACACGTCATCGTTGGAGCCACACGCGAGTGTGAGTAACGATCCAAGAGCGAGTCTTATCCGACATTATTCCGATGATATCCCGGACGTCAGTCTGAGCGAGATTAGAATGGCTCTCCAGCACCTTAAAAACGGCAGGCAAGGCCCCAGGCGAGGATGGAATTACAGCGGAGCTTCTGAAAGCGGGTGGAAAACCGGTACTTGAAGTCCTTCAGAAGCTCTTTAATTCCGTCCTCCATGGTGGCATTACACCGGAGGCGTGGAGCAGAAGTGCGGTGGTCTTGTTCTTCAAGAAAGGCGACAACGCTCTCTTGAAGAACTACAGACCGATTTCCCTTCTGAGCTGCGTCTACGTGCTGTTTTCGAGAATCATTACGAATCGTCCCGCGCGCAGACTTGACGACTTCCAGCCTCCCGAACAAGCCGATTTCCGAAAAGGCTTTAGCACCATAGACCACATACATACCCTTTGGCAAAGATAATGATGAAATAGTGTTTATAATTGTGAGTACTGAGTACCCACCCAATTAGGTACGTTTATTAATTTCAATAAAATTGTTGAAGTAAAGAACTGCTTGTTACGTGAGGAAACAATTGATTGTGTAATTGTATTAAAAATGACAACCATAACTTCTAAATTCCATATGAAGTTGTAGGGATAACTAAACTTATAAATAAAATAAACGTTGGCAATGTCGTAATGATTTAATGGCCTTTGGAATTGACCAGTGCTTCAAGGACATTACGGCGCACGAGGAATTTGTTTTGGCGGGATCGATTATTAATTTTAGGAGACAGTTCCGTGTTGACTGTCACGTGCACGTGAGCGACAGTTCAATCGTTTTGTTTATTACATTCTTGTTTTTACGATTTGTTTTTCTTGTTTTGTTTTAATACTGCCTAACGCGTAGGTACATTTATAGTGCTCGTAATACGGCAACATGTTAATGTGCCTTGGAGAATCTCATAAGATTTAGATCGGTAAGCTGTTTCATACCTATTTTTTTTTAAATAACTTAGTACTGAACTCATCTGAATAGGTACATAACTGAATACATCAGAATAATAAACATATACCTACACTAAAAGCATGACTCTAAACTTGTTAACATTTCATTTTAGTTTTTTTTTATTAGCGGGGACCGAACCAAGTATTTGGTTTATTTTACCTGTGAATAAAGTGGCTAAATGGAGACAAGCACAGTGGACAAATATTAGGTTTGTTAATTAAGTAGATGTGTTAAGTATTTACACAAGTGTTGTAAATTATTAGGTATTGTGGTACAGTCGCAAGCTGCGGGCCGCGCGAATTCGGCGTCCACGCGTACATTGACCTCTAGTCAGCCGATTGTAATTCAGTAATTCCACTGCTGTTTTATGTTTAAGTATTTTCATGATTAAATTATCGTTTCATTTAGCTGTACTAACATGATGGAGCGCGCTAATAAAACGTTTTGAAAAGATTTTTTTTTCGTCGGGCTCAAATTTATTTGTGACCCATGATCAAAAGTGTCCTTATTACTACCATCTGTCTTCGTTTTCGGGAGCATTTCACTAACATCCCGTATACAGGGTATTTTTGGAACGCTCCCGAAAACTAAGACAGGCGACAGCACCAAGTATACCTTTGATCATGGGTCACAAATAAATTTGATCCTGATGAAAAAAAAATCATATTTTTACAACGTTTTATTAGCTTTATTCACGCGCCATCATGTTAGTACAGCTAAATGAATCGATAATTTCATAAAAAAAATCATGAAAATACTGAAACATAAAACCAGCAGTGGAAACTGAATTGATATCACCTGACTAATGGAGGTTAATGTACGCGCGAACGGTGAAAAAAGAACGCTGGCCTTGAACTTGGGCATTGAGCGATTTATCACATATAGGTACGAGGGGGGTGCGACGGGGGATCAATCCGCCAGTATTACTGTGCCTGCATGCTATTGGTTCACGCGCTTTGTTCGCTCCAAAAATACAGTCGCATACACAGCTTACTTTGCGACTCGCGACGATGTTTTAAAAAGGAAGGAAACAAAAATTATTTATATCTATTGTTTTATGACTAAACTAGTGAACGAAAAGGTAAATATGATATGAGAAGGTGAATGGGGAAAATTGTGCAGTAAAGTGTTGAGGGAGAATACCGAAAAAATTACCATGTGATCGACCTGATGACGGAAGCTCAAGCGAAGATGAAAGTAATGATGAAGTAGCATCCAGTAATACCAACACACCATCAACATCTGACTTTCATGTGACCCAAGACGTCATAATGGACGGCGTGTCACCCTTAAGTTTTTTTTGTTACAAACTACTTTATATTTTACGATAGAAATAACAAATAATGCTCAAGTAAACATTATCCATTTTTAATTCCCACCTCTTCCAAAGTTCTAAGTAAATAGTAAAACACCTATTATGATTCCACAATTAAACAATTAATTACTATAATATTATAAAACAATAGCCCAATACCATGTAGTACTTTAGAACGCGACTGTACCCACACTTCCTCCGCTGTCGACCTGTATCTAGCTCGGTACGAAACAATGGTATGCGGTCGGAAGAAAAAAGGGCGCATCTAACAATTTTTGAATAAATGAGTTAAATATACCATGACTCATGATAAGAAGGCGCATCTACTAAATTTTTTTAATATTCACAAATATCAATATTTTAGAAATTATCGTAAGGATTTTAGACGTAACTGTTGATCACAGATGACATCTTTTTATTAGAAAAGACTTCAACATAAAAGAAAAGACTTATTTAACCAGTGGCTACGTCATCTTTAACAATATTTGCATCGATTACTTAAATTTCAATTATTCTTGTCTTTTTATTCTATATCTTATTATTAAGAGCTTATATCTTATTACTAAGAGCTGGTGTTTCACATGTGGTCCCATATAAATTTGATCGAGGTCAGACCAATAGTTTTTGAGTCATCCTTAATTATTTATATTAAAGTCGGTTGTACAAAATTTTTAATTATTATCGTAGTAAGTCTTGTATGATATCCCCTTTAAAATCATTACTCAAGAGTTGCGGGTTGTTATTTTTTGTGTCTGACTACCAATGCTTTTCTAATATTTACTAAGAAAAAAGTAGTAAATTACTATTAGCGTCCTTTCAACTTCAAATGACCTTTCCAAAATATGTAAAAATGTTAAATGAATGGCAGTTTTTTTTATTTATTAGGTTGGGAAGACGCAAATAGTTATATGCGTCTTTCCTTCGATGTTTTTGTGTTGCCAGGTGTATTTTTTAATCTAAGATGAAAAGGAAAATTCGTTTTATTTAAATAAATAAACAAATTATCAAAAAATAAGTTCGTCCTTAAAATCTTCATGTCTCTACGTACATATTTCAATTTTCATATAGATACCTTTTAATATACTTTAGACACGGGGTCTGAAAGAAAAATTCATAAATTTATTTTTTATTTCCATTTTACGTTTTTGTTAGTTGCGTACTTCTTTATTTCGTATGACGGCAGAATGTAACCCGGCCGGCTCATGTCGCCTCGCAGAATGTAACCCGGCCGGCTCGTGTCGTCACGCTGTGACGCAGTAGGTTTCCGTTTATTCGTCGGGGTTCGTTATTAATTGTAGTTTTTGAAACAGTTCCGTGTTGATTTTGTACACGCGTGCGCGAGCGACAGTTCAATCGTTTTGTTTAATAAATTTACTTGTGATTACGTGTTGATATTAAAGTTTTTGTTACGTTTTTGGATTCTTTTTTGTTTTAATAATGCCTAACGCGTACGTTTATAGTGGTCAACATGTTAGGTATCCGAACCTAGGTACACGAAGTATCGCTAAATAAATTGTTAAGACGTCGGGATCGTACAAGTGTGTCATACTGTACAGTGCACAAAGTGTTGAAGCGTAACCAATGCGCCCATACAAATTGCACAAAGTGCAAGCTTTAGTTCCCGGCGATCACGACCGCCGACGAGTTTTCTGCCGTTGGTTATTATACCAGCAACAACGTGTGCCTGGTTCCATTGAGCACATTATCTGGACGGATGAGTCGACATTTACCAGAAACGGCCTGTGGAACCGAAGAAATACACACGTGTATTCAGAGGTTAACCCGCACGCTGTTCGACAAACCGGGCACCAAACCCGATGGTCGGTTAACGTATGGGCAGGTTTATTTAAGGATCGCATACTGGGACCAGTGTTTCTGACAGAGCGACTGAACGGACAGCGATACCTAAACTTTATAAATGAACAGTTGGTTGACATTTTAAACGACCTATCGTTGGCTGAATATCGCCGCACATGGTTCCAACATGATGGTGCCCCTCCACATTTCGTGAGGTTCGTCCGTGAGCGCCTCAATGAGTTATTTGATGATCGCTGGATCGGCAGACTAGGACCACACGCTTGGCCACCTCGCTCACCAGATCTGACTCCGTTAGATTCTTTTTGTGGGGTATGTAAAAGAAAGGGTTTTTAATCGTGAATGTGATAGTGCTGAAGAAATGCGCCAAAGGATCGTGGATGGTTTCGAGAAACTACGTACGGACTGTGTCGAAGACCACACGATGATGCCCCGCCTGCACCCAAATCTACCTTGAAATGAATGGAGCACAATTTGAGCCGCATCTCATAAGACCACGGAGGATTTAGAGCGGTAAGCTGTTTCATACCTATTTTTTTTTAAATAACTTAGTACTAGACTAATCTGAATAGGTACATAACTGAATACATGAGAATAATAAACATACACGATGAATAAAAACTCATGACTCCAACTTTGGTTACATTTCATTTAAGTATTTTTTCATTAGCGGGGAATCGAACCAGTTATTTGGGTTATTTAACCTGTAAATTCGGATTAAAGTGGCTAAGTGGAGACAAGCACAGTGGCAAAATAGTAGGTTAAGTAGATAAGTAAGGTATTTAGACAAGTGTTGTAAATTATTAGATATTGTGGTTTGGCCCGCTAGTTGCGGGCCGCGCGAATTTGCGTTCGCGCGTACATTGACCTTTCAGTCAGGTGATATAAATTCAGTCATTCCACTGCTGGTTTTATGTTTCAGTATTTTCATGATATATTTTATGAAATTATCGTTTCATTTAGCTGTACTAACATGATGGCGCGTGAATAAAGCTAATAAAACGGTGTAAAAAGTTGATTTTTTTTTCATCAGGATCGAATTTATTTGTGACCCATGATCAAAGGTGTACTTGGTGTTGTCGCCTGTCTTAGTTTTCGGGAGCGTTCCAAAAATACCCTGTATAGTTGAATTTTGCTTTCTGCTCATATAAGCAAGGAAAGCAAAATTCAAACAACATTGATCTTTGTCGCATACCACATTCACGCCTTAAATTCGAATTCAGTCCTTAATAAACTTAAATACGAATCATACTTTAAAAAAACAGTTAACTAGCTCCATTTCTACAAATACTGTAATCGAAAAACATCGAGAAGCTTTACACCTCTCTAAATTAAATAATAGTGTTTGTCCCGTGTTCCTCGACTCTGATGAATCTATTCTATATTGTAAAGACAGTCTGTCCCAATTACAAAACCCTGAAAATTTAATAAACTCAGAACGAGGACCGTACACTATCTCTTATATTAAGGAAAATAATGAAACGTTTTATTTTTTATATACAAAAATTCACCATTACGAAGAGCTAACATACCGAAATATTTACAATTTATTAATGCAACTACGCGATAACATTATGACAGAAAATATTCAAATCACTGACTATCCATTTCTGATTTTGCTGACCCGTTCTCTAAATTATCATATACGAAAACGACGAGTGGCAAAACGTAGCAAGTTACTGAAACTGAGTGGATTATTACAGAAATAAAGCTTCATACAACCGCGCGAATCGGTTGCACTACTACAAGCACGCGGGGTAGGTGTGCGTGACCACTGGCCGCTTGTATGGAAAAAACCGGTTACACTGACGGAGCCAGTGGACAACACTTTTCAGGGTCAGTGCGACGCAAGTTGTTTGTTTTGTTAGTTGCAAATTTGAATATTTTAATGTGAAAACGTGGTATTATTAATAATAGTTGTTTATTATACAGTGTGTATGAATAATACTAGAAAAAATCAAAATATATCCCATGGAGTACTAGGTAAGTAAATATTTGATTATTACTGGACTACTTTTTCAAGTACCTTTATTTTATTGCTTTATTTTCCTTTTTTTTAATAAGAAAAGGTTACTACACGGCGTGTTTTAACTTTTTATGGATATTACAAGCTTTTACTAAACATTTGCAGGTATGTAGGTAGGTTGGTATGTAGTAGGTATGTGGGTTAAGTTCACATATTGCAAGTAAGATTTGAACCACTTCTGTCTGATTGAGTTGAAATTTTGTATACCGTAACTTCAGTAACAACGCAATAATATGCTAGGTATTGTTTTTTTTTAATTTGTCTTCACCTATTGTGACTGACAATCCTACCAAAATAGGTAACAATTTTGCACGTTTTTAGGAAGCTATGCCTTTGTTCCTTTTATTTACTCATGTGACGAAACTATCTATTACAGTAGACGTTTTAGTCATTAACACGATTCACGTTTCACGGATCACGAAACAGCGATCAGTAACAAATCGTTTATTAGCTAATTTTCGCGACGCATCGGCGACGGCTTCGGCTGTTGAAATAGAAATACCACCGGTCGTCGAATTTCGAGTGAGCGCGGGTGCTTTTGCATTTGACCTACAACTCTATTGCCTTCGGATAGATGCGATATTAGAAATGAGAAAGTGTGCATGTTTTAAAAAAAAATAGTTCGAATCGCATGAATTTACGTGGCCTTGGCCCAGTTTAAATTAGTCTTGTTGTCTAAGTTTAATGACACGGTTTGTTTTTACTTTTTAGGCGCGTTTATTAAAAATTTTATTCGGTTATCTTTTTGTGCTATAATAATAATATTTTTAGTAAAGTAAGAAATAACAATTGTATATATTAGTGTTAATAATAATAATTGTACAGTAATAAGTGTAAATAATACTAAAACTTTATGTGACAATTATCAAAAATGTCTCGAAGCAAATGCCAGTGTACTTTGGGACATTTTACAAAAGACACTACAACCATGAAAGCTAAATGTACACTGTGCGGTGATTTTTATAGTTACAATACTACAACAGGAAATCTGAAGAGTTATCTACGTAAGAGGCACTTAGACGCATATGAAAGAGTCGCTTTGCACCAAGGTGTAATTTTACGGGAGATGCGTTCTACACCAACGGCCAAGTCAGCATCGCAACCACCGACGACAGCAGGGGCAAGTAGTATCACACCACCTGCCGACGTCACCGGGTCAATTCCTCAATTTAATCAAACTATTGCTGCACCTCGAGCTGCACCATATCCACAACAACAACGAATGGACAAGTACGGCACAGCAAAAAAAATATCAGCTGATCAAAAAAAATAGATTGATAGAGATCTACTGCACTTGTTCATAGAAGTATATCAACCGTTTTCAAAAGTGGAAGAGAGAGCGTTCAAAAAGATTGATACCGAGAAGCAAGTTGGATACCGGGATACGTATTGCCAAGCCGTCAAACTTATATCTAACATTATGAGTCCCGCTCTTTACGAGCAAACTAAGGAAAAAATAAAGGTAGAACTAAACTTGATAAGATCAAATGATCATATCAAATTATGCATTACAACCGATTTGTGGACATCACGTGCAAACGAAAGTTACATTGCCGTGACAGCGCATTTCATAACAGAGCAATATGAATTAAAATCCATTCTTATGCAAAGTTCAATTTTCGATGAGGCTCACACCAGCGCGAACATCCAAGAAAAATTATTATCTATAACTAGCGAATGGGGCCTGCGCTACAAAACAAACTTTGTGGTCTCTGATAATGCCGCCAATATTCTAAAGGCGATTTCGGAAGTCGTGTGGAAACACAATGGTTGCTATGGGCATTTGTTAAACCTTGCAGTACAAGGCGCTATTAAAAAGGTCACTATTAATATAGAGAAAATAAAAATGTGCGACATTTAAGAACAAGCACTAGTGCTTTTGAAAAGTTATTAAAGACCCAAACTATAGAAAATCCCAATCTATTTCAAAAAGACTTATACAAGAAGTACCTACACGGTGGATTTCCACATATCATATGATAAATCGTTTTGTAGAAAAATCTTAAAGCCATTCGATGACGCTACACGTTCTTTGAGTGGTGAAAAATATATGATTGGAAGCGCAGTAATAGTCATGACGAGATGCCTCTTAACAGCCTGCGAGAAACTATTGCTAGAGGACTTTTCTCCAGTCGCAATCACCCTTGTAAAACATTTAAAGAAAGGACTGAAGACTATTTTCACTGGCGTCGAGAAAAACCGCACATTTGCAATTTGCACATTTTTAGATCCGCGTTATAAAATGACAGTATTCAGTGACCAGAACGAAGCGCAAAATACAAAAAAGAAAGTGCAAGAAATAGTAATAGATATTATTTGCAGTGAAAGTTCACATCAAAAACCAGTGGCATCCTCATCAAACCAGCAACCTTATGACCTTTTCTCACCATGGTTAATTTTATGTGATGCCTGTAGGCGTCACGCAACACACGGTCGGCACTCCATTGTCAAGATCTATAAAAGAAGTCTACACTTATTTAAGTGATGAAATGTTGCAGCTGTTAGACGAGCAAATAAAATGAAATTGCCCCCTGAAATGGTGGAAAAATCATAGATTTACTTACCCTCACCAAGCTAAACTTTACATGAGCTTTGGTAACATTTTAGCGACATCAGTTCCTTGTGAACGCATTTTTAGTAAAACCGGCCTTACCGAGGCCTTAAGTGACACAATTTATTTTTTTCAACGTTAACTTACAAGACAATTAAACATTTGTAAATAACTATTTAAATAATCTAGGCTTGTATATAGTACGTGTATATATTTGACTATACAATGAAATTTTAAATGCGCCTGCGTTATTAAAAGATTAACTTAAGTATGAATTATTACTTAATTAACCAGTCTTAAGCCTGGATAAAGCATGAAGGAAATTTCATTGCAATGTAAAATCTTTTTAACACTAAAACCTTGATAGCAGTAATCTAATAGATTATATTACTGCTATCGAGAATATAGAATATAAATATAGAATTTCAATACAAAATGGTAACACCAAACAAGTTTTCTCGTGAAACGGACATCGTTACATTCGCAACATTTTTCAATTAAACACGTCTTCAAGTCACGTTTTCAAGTAAACCTTCTACTGAAGCTGCTATTAAAATAGAGTATTTCAAAAGCCGCTATTTATATTCGATAGATAGTTTCGTTTCGTTACTCAAAAAACCCGCTATAATCCAAAGCTACCGCTGACTGACAAAAGAGCCCTCCCTAGTGATGTGAACCGGTTTTAGAAAAAAGTAAATAAAACCGATTTTTTTAATAACCGATAAACACCGGTTTCTTTTTACTAAAACCGATTACTTTGTCTGTACCGACTCACTTGTCTTTCATTATTCGTGTATACGAACCATAAGCTAATCCGAACACCAAAGTCAGACCATAGACATAGGGAGAGTTTATATTGTCTTTGATTGGGGAATCACCGCGCTATTTCAGCCATTAGGCAAAACTGTTGACAAACTTCTGCCCGTTCAGTCATTCTTTTGCGTGTGTTATGTGTATGGTTATTTCTCTTGCGTTTCTTCAAAAAGACTTAGTTTTTTATCAGGTTAAGTAAAACGTTTTGGAGGAAATCATCGATAAGTAAGTAATTAATTATTACTAAATACCTCGTTAAATAGAAAACCTTTTTGCTTATAATTTAAATAAATTAAAATTTTTTTTTGTTAAATTACCTGAATTTTTTTATCATTGAATTGCATTTTATTGTATTACAGGATGCCCAAGGTAAAAGGAAAATCCATCACACGGAACCATTACGAAAAAATTGATAATGATACTGCCAAATGTAAATTATGCGAAAAAATAATTAAGGTTGGTGGTGGAACTTCTAATATGTTGGCTCATTTAAAAAGACACCATCCGCAGGCTACAGTGGAAATGCAGGGGAATGTTGTAGGTGAACAGCCCAATAACCTATCAGCCTTAGGACAAACTAAGCAAGAAAAATCTTTGAACACTTCAAAAACTCCTCTTCTCCAAACTACATTGAAAGTGACCGTGATCAGTAATAAGAAAAATATTGATAAATATTTAAACATGATGATCGCTACGGACTTCCAGCCCTTTTCGATTGTTGAAGACAGAGGATTTAAAAGGTTCACAGGAGTTTTGAACCCAAACTACAAATTACAAAGTAGAAAAAAAATCAGGTACGAATTGATGCCGCAACAGTACCAAAATGCAAAGTTGAAACTTGCTATTGCACTTGATAATGTAAAGCATGCTGCACTAACCGCTGATTTGTGGTCTTACCAAAATATGGACTCCTTTATTATGGTCACAATTCATTTTTTTTCTGAAAGGTGATTTAATAAGATATGTCTTGACTACCTCAGATGTCCCCACTGCACATACAGCTGAAAATCTTGCCGAAATTGTTTCTAACTTACTAACAGAATGGAAACTAACTGGCAAAATTACAAAACCATTGTCACAGATAACGCTATTAACATGATCAGAATGTGCGAATTGCTAAACATATAGGACATGCCATGTTTTGCGCATACAGTTAATCTAATTGTTGATGATTCTTTAGAGCTTCCTGAGATTCGGGACATTATTAACAAATGTAAGGCTATTGTTAAGTTTTTTAAAAAGTCGTCTGTAGGGTGGCGAGCGCTAAAAGCAGAACAGAAGGAAAGAAATCCCAATACTAGTCCTTTGAAGTTGATACAAGAAGTATCGACAGGATGGAACAGCAAATTCTACAGGCTGTCTAGAATTCTTCAATTATCTGATGTTCTGGCATTAGTATGTAGAAAATTAATCCAGGCATCAGACTACTTAACCGCCTGTGAAGAAAAAGTGGGCAAAGAAATAATAAAGATTTTGGAAATATTCGAACAGGCTACAAAGCTTGTTAGTGCTGATACATATCCGACCAGTTCATTAATCATACCAGTAATTTGTGGATTGTATGAGAATTTGACACCATTGAAAATACTCTGGAGGCAAAATGTTTTGCTCATCAGTAATGCGAAATATGAGCAGCAGGCTTTTAGTATACGAGACAAGAACTGTCGCGCAAATGTCAACATACTTACATCCGGTATTAAGGTCAGGTTTTAGGCGCTCGGAAAATTTGTTATCGGCAAAAGAAATAGTAAGAAAAGATTATCTCATTTAATAAAGGATTCTGAAACCAATATTACGGCTACGACATCAGAACAAGCAGTGCAAAGATCAGTAGAGACAAACATAGAACAGAAAAAACCTGGACTCTTGGACTTTTTGAAACAAAGGAAATACATTATCCATCCAACTGCGTCCGCAGTTAACTTAATGCGCATGTATTTGGAGACAGAGCCCGAGCATGTTGAAGCTGAAACTGAAAAAACGGCTGAAAGTACTGGCACTTTTGGAGCAAGAAAAACATTTAGTGCCATTGAACGTTTTAGCGCTAAAATATTTATCGGTGCCAGCAACGTCTGTGCCTTCGGAAAGGATGTTTTCCAAATCGGGATATGTACTGTCACCCAGAAGAAGCAGGTTGCAAGCGGATGCTGTCGATCACATCTGTTTTCTTAATCAAAATTACGACTTATGTGGTTAGTTATTTTTATGTAAAAATTATTTTGATTTTAATAAAGTAGATTTTAATAAAGGTAAAAGTTATTTGTATTGTATATGTATTGTTCTTTCTTTTAAAAAGGTAAGAAAATACCTAAAAATACCTTTAAAAACCGGTTTTTTACTCAAAGTAATCGGTAAAAACCGGTTCTCATATTTGCAATCGGTTCACACCATTGCGCTGCCCCTCCCCTCGCGCTGCCCGCTGCCGCTCTCACCTCGCCACGCCGCCGCTCCGCCAATCACAGTCATTTAGCTTCGACAATATAAACAAGTTTTTGCAGTGTGATTTGGATTACGTATTTTACTTATTAAAAGGATTATTGGCAATAATAACAATGGGTAAATGGGTAATTAAACAATGTACCAATTCCGGGCGCAGCAGAAGTAAACAGTTGAGTGATAGTGAGTTAGTACAGCCTACTTGGCAAGTTCTAATATTGATCTCACAAACGGGCGCACGATGAACAGGTAAATTAATCTTCAAAAAAGAAAAAGGGTCAATTAAAAATTTTCAAAAATTCAGTCAAATCCGACAATATCTTGAAGATTACATTCATTTCGGCTTTATGGAGGGCACAGATAAGAAACCATAATGTGTAATTTACAATGTCGAACTATCAAACGAACCAATGAAATCGTCAAAGTTGTAGCGGCATTTGGAACTAAAACATCCTGACTACAAAGAAAAGCCA